TATGTTGTGTTGGCTCTGTGGTATGATTTGACCTATTGTGTTGCTGCTGTTGTATATCTTGTGTTTGCTTTGTGGTATGATTTGACCTTTTGTGTTGACTCTGTTGTATATGTTGTGTTGGCGCTGTGGTATGATTTGACCTATGTGTTGACTCTGTTGTATATTTTGTGTTTGCTCTGTGGTATGATTTGACCTTTTGTGTTGCTGCTGTTGTATATGTTGTGTTGGCTCTGTGGTATGATTTGACCTTTTGTGTTGATGCTGTTGTATATGTTGTGTTGGCTCTGTGGTATGATTTGACCTTTTGTGTTGATGCTGTTGTATATGTTGTGTTGGCTCTGTGGTATGATTTGACCTTTTGTGTTGATGCTGTTGTATATGTTGTGTTGGCTCTGTGGTATGATTTGACCTTTTGTGTTGATGCTGTTGTATATGTTGTGTTGGCTCTGTGGTATGATTTGACCTTTTGTGTTGATGCTGTTGTATATGTTGTGTTGGCTCTGTGGTATGATTTGACCTTTTGTGTTGATGCTGTTGTATATGTTGTGTTGGCTCTGTGGTATGATTTGACCTTTTGTGTTGATGCTGTTGTATATGTTGTGTTGGCTCTGTGGTATGATTTGACCTTTTGTGTTGATGCTGTTGTATATGTTGTGTTGGCTCTGTGGTATGATTTGACCTTTTGTGTTGATGCTGTTGTATATGTTGTGTTGGCTCTGTGGTATGATTTGACCTTTTGTGTTGATGCTGTTGTATATGTTGTGTTGGCTCTGTGGTATGATTTGACCTTTTGTGTTGATGCTGTTGTATATGTTGTGTTGGCTCTGTGGTATGATTTGACCTTTTGTGTTGATGCTGTTGTATATGTTGTGTTGGCTCTGTGGTATGATTTGACCTTTTGTGTTGATGCTGTTGTATATGTTGTGTTGGCTCTGTGGTATGATTTGACCTTTTGTGTTGATGCTGTTGTATATGTTGTGTTGGCTCTGTGGTATGATTTGACCTTTTGTGTTGATGCTGTTGTATATGTTGTGTTGGCTCTGTGGTATGATTTGACCTTTTGTGTTGATGCTGTTGTATATGTTGTGTTGGCTCTGTGGTATGATTTGACCTTTTGTGTTGATGCTGTTGTATATGTTGTGTTGGCTCTGTGGTATGATTTGACCTTTTGTGTTGATGCTGTTGTATATGTTGTGTTGGCTCTGTGGTATGATTTGACCTTTTGTGTTGATGCTGTTGTATATGTTGTGTTGGCTCTGTGGTATGATTTGACCTTTTGTGTTGATGCTGTTGTATATGTTGTGTTGGCTCTGTGGTATGATTTGACCTTTTGTGTTGATGCTGTTGTATATGTTGTGTTGGCTCTGTGGTATGATTTGACCTTTTGTGTTGATGCTGTTGTATATGTTGTGTTGGCTCTGTGGTATGATTTGACCTTTTGTGTTGATGCTGTTGTATATGTTGTGTTGGCTCTGTGGTATGATTTGACCTTTTGTGTTGATGCTGTTGTATATGTTGTGTTGGCTCTGTGGTATGATTTGACCTTTTGTGTTGATGCTGTTGTATATGTTGTGTTGGCTCTGTGGTATGATTTGACCTTTTGTGTTGATGCTGTTGTATATGTTGTGTTGGCTCTGTGGTATGATTTGACCTTTTGTGTTGATGCTGTTGTATATGTTGTGTTGGCTCTGTGGTATGATTTGACCTTTTGTGTTGATGCTGTTGTATATGTTGTGTTGGCTCTGTGGTATGATTTGACCTTTTGTGTTGATGCTGTTGTATATGTTGTGTTGGCTCTGTGGTATGATTTGACCTTTTGTGTTGATGCTGTTGTATATGTTGTGTTGGCTCTGTGGTATGATTTGACCTTTTGTGTTGATGCTGTTGTATATGTTGTGTTGGCTCTGTGGTATGATTTGACCTTTTGTGTTGATGCTGTTGTATATGTTGTGTTGGCTCTGTGGTATGATTTGACCTTTTGTGTTGATGCTGTTGTATATGTTGTGTTGGCTCTGTGGTATGATTTGACCTTTTGTGTTGATGCTGTTGTATATGTTGTGTTGGCTCTGTGGTATGATTTGACCTTTTGTGTTGATGCTGTTGTATATGTTGTGTTGGCTCTGTGGTATGATTTGACCTTTTGTGTTGATGCTGTTGTATATGTTGTGTTGGCTCTGTGGTATGATTTGACCTTTTGTGTTGATGCTGTTGTATATGTTGTGTTGGCTCTGTGGTATGATTTGACCTTTTGTGTTGATGCTGTTGTATATGTTGTGTTGGCTCTGTGGTATGATTTGACCTTTTGTGTTGATGCTGTTGTATATGTTGTGTTGGCTCTGTGGTATGATTTGACCTTTTGTGTTGATGCTGTTGTATATGTTGTGTTGGCTCTGTGGTATGATTTGACCTTTTGTGTTGATGCTGTTGTATATGTTGTGTTGGCTCTGTGGTATGATTTGACCTTTTGTGTTGATGCTGTTGTATATGTTGTGTTGGCTCTGTGGTATGATTTGACCTTTTGTGTTGACTCTGTTGTATATGTTGTGTTGGCTCTGTGGTATGATTTGACCTTTTGTGTTGCTGCTGTTGTATATGTTGTGTTGGCTCTGTGGTATGATTTGACCTTTTGTGTTGATGCTGTTGTATATGTTGTGTTGGCTCTGTGGTATGATTTGACCTTTTGTGTTGACTCTGTTGTATATGTTGTGTTGGCTCTGTGGTATGATTTGACCTTTTGTGTTGCTGCTGTTGTATATGTTGTGTTGGCTCTGTGGTATGATTTGACCTTTTGTGTTGATGCTGTTGTATATGTTGTGTTGGCTCTGTGGTATGATTTGACCTTTTGTGTTGATGCTGTTGTATATGTTGTGTTGGCTCTGTGGTATGATTTGACCTTTTGTGTTGATGCTGTTGTATATGTTGTGTTGGCTCTGTGGTATGATTTGACCTTTTGTGTTGACTCTGTTGTATATGTTGTGTTGGCTCTGTGGTATGATTTGACCTTTTGTGTTGCTGCTGTTGTATATGTTGTGTTGGCTCTGTGGTATGATTTGACCTTTTGTGTTGATGCTGTTGTATATGTTGTGTTGGCTCTGTGGTATGATTTGACCTTTTGTGTTGATGCTGTTGTATATGTTGTGTTGGCTCTGTGGTATGATTTGACCTTTTGTGTTGATGCTGTTGTATATGTTGTGTTGGCTCTGTGGTATGATTTGACCTTTTGTGTTGATGCTGTTGTATATGTTGTGTTGGCTCTGTGGTATGATTTGACCTTTTGTGTTGACTCTGTTGTATATGTTGTGTTGGCTCTGTGGTATGATTTGACCTTTTGTGTTGCTGCTGTTGTATATGTTGTGTTGGCTCTGTGGTATGATTTGACCTTTTGTGTTGATGCTGTTGTATATGTTGTGTTGGCTCTGTGGTATGATTTGACCTTTTGTGTTGATGCTGTTGTATATGTTGTGTTGGCTCTGTGGTATGATTTGACCTTTTGTGTTGATGCTGTTGTATATGTTGTGTTGGCTCTGTGGTATGATTTGACCTTTTGTGTTGATGCTGTTGTATATGTTGTGTTGGCTCTGTGGTATGATTTGACCTTTTGTGTTGACTCTGTTGTATATGTTGTGTTGGCTCTGTGGTATGATTTGACCTTTTGTGTTGCTGCTGTTGTATATGTTGTGTTGGCTCTGTGGTATGATTTGACCTTTTGTGTTGATGCTGTTGTATATGTTGTGTTGGCTCTGTGGTATGATTTGACCTTTTGTGTTGATGCTGTTGTATATGTTGTGTTGGCTCTGTGGTATGATTTGACCTTTTGTGTTGACTCTGTTGTATATGTTGTGTTGGCTCTGTGGTATGATTTGACCTTTTGTGTTGCTGCTGTTGTATATGTTGTGTTGGCTCTGTGGTATGATTTGACCTTTTGTGTTGATGCTGTTGTATATGTTGTGTTGGCTCTGTGGTATGATTTGACCTTTTGTGTTGATGCTGTTGTATATGTTGTGTTGGCTCTGTGGTATGATTTGACCTTTTGTGTTGACTCTGTTGTATATGTTGTGTTTGCTCTGTGGTATGATTTGACCTTTTGTGTTGACTCTGTGGTATGATTTGACCTTTTGTGTTGATGCTGTTGTATATTTTGTGTTGGCTCTGTGGTATGATTTGACCTTTTGTGTTGACTCTGTTGTATATATTGTGTTGGCTCTGTGATTTGCTTTGACCTACTGAGTTGATGTTGTGATATATTTTCAAGTTTCAGATACAAGTTGAGGCATTGAAAGAATGTTCACGTGAACCTACTTATTCGCATGAAACATAAAAATGTTGTTAAATTAAGTTAAAATAGATAATTGTGATTTTTTCCTCGTGCATATATGAAGAAGTCATCGTGGGTTTCTTAAATTTATTGTAAATATTTATTCAAATACAGTAAAGTGACGGATATTTATCAGTAAGTATTCGTTTAAAATTTCAAACCCTCTAGACGAATTGGTCGTTTTAGGCAAAATAAATTATTTGCAGTAGTCGAAGAGCTTAGTATCAAAAATTGAAAAAGATATAACAATGCTGAATTATCCATGTCCTATTAAATTTCCAGGTTTTCATCTTTGATTTGGCAAACCCAAAAGACAGTCCACAGATAACAATAACTGGAAGTCAGGTACGTATGGGATTAGTTAGGTACGTATGGGATTAGTTAGGTACGTATGGGAGAAGTCAGGTACGTATGGGATTAGTCAGGTACGTATGGGATTTGTCAGGTATGTATGAGATTAGTTAGGTACGTATGGAATTAGTTAGGTACGTATGGGATTGGTCAGGTACGTATGGGATTAGTCAGGTACGTATGGGATTAGTTAGGTACGTATGTGATTATTTAGGTACGTATGGGATTAGTTAGGTACGTATGGGATTAGTCAGGTACGTATGGGATTAGTCAGGTACGTATGAGATTAGTTAGGTACGTATGGAATTAGTTAGGTACGTATGGGATTAGTCAGGTACGTATGGGATTAGTTATGTACGTATGGGATTAGTCAGGTACGTATTGGATTAGTCAGGTACGTATGGGTTTAGTCAGGTACGTATGGGATTAGTCAGGTACGTATGGGATTAGTTAGGTACGGCTTTGTGATAGCGCCTTTCTGCTCTATTCTTATTACCATGAGATATATTCAATATATATCTTGATACATATATTAGTATTATATTGTTTGGGGCTGCCAAAGTTTGGGAATTTTTAGTTTAGTATCACGTACCATTATGATGTACTAATGTAAGGCGCTTCAATAACCCACACTCCTTCCACTGTTAATACAATATATGACAATGAATGCATAGTATTCTACATTAGACAAAAAGACCAAAAAGATCTTTCCAAGTCCTTTAATAGACTGCCGTTTTTTTGTGATATCGAAGGTATGTTTTCGTTAAAGGAAAACAACTGTATTGACCACATCCATCGTATATACACTCCTGAACCGTAAACAATGGACGCTACATAATGTCAAACGACAACACTTACAACCTAAAACAGGGATTTTATAACAAACAAATCAAATTTTAATAAGTTTTCTATATTTTTTCAGATTTTCAGTAAAATTTAATCAACATACTACATGAACAAGGAATTTTAAATTTATCTAATACAGTTATTTAATTTTTGAGTCCAGTGTAGAGGAGCTCTATCGGCTCCTGTATTGGAAACTAACTTTAACTTAACTTAACTTTAATCTATATATCTTTTATTTCATAAAAAAATCTCCGTTAGTAATATCAATTAGCCTTTTATTTCCTTTACAATCAACTTTTTTTCCAAATCACATATTTTGATTGGCTCAATGCTCCATACAGACAAAAGGAAACAAAGCCATGTACTGTTTTTGGTTTCACTACAGATGGGAAGCTACTTCGGGTCAGCCCTGTGTACGATGAAGTTAAGCTCGGACCGATGGGACGATATATTAGTTGGTGCTCCTTGGTACTCAACGAACGGTAGTCAGGAAGGGCGTGTCTTTATATACGTCTCCAGGGGACTGGTAAGTTATTATTAAGGCGGTAAAAAAACATATTCAGAACGTGATCCAACTACGATCGCTTGTGTTTCATGTTATTGAGAAAGTAAAACACCTTTTCTGACCATTGTCTTAGTTTAATCATCCTTTGAACAGTCGAGGAATGAAATTAGACCATCGTTAAGTGTTGTATATTCGTATAATGTGACAAATGGGCCTACTTGCTAACTACCATCTTTCCCCTACTATTATATTCTGTTTGGGACAGTCAATAGGACCTGCTGTCTACCTAACAGCACGTGCGACCATTAACGTTTCTTTCCCTAGCATACTTGATTTTACTTTTTCTGGCGCTAGTTGCCACAAACATGTGCAATAGTATGCGGACCATGTTATGATGTTTTACTGACATGTCAATTTAAATGGACGTTGATAAGCATCGATCAAATTAACTTTCCTTTTGAAACTTTTACGAGTCAGAAAAAGGATTTCGACTGTGTTTAACAAGCATTAATCTAGGTTCCAAATGAATGTAAATAAGACGTTTGACTTCCCTGGGGGCGGAGAGGAGGAGAAGCCAAAAACGATTCGATTCTTCGTGTAAATGAAGGGATTGTAAACTTACTTGGAATACATCAATTAGTAGCCATGGAACTCAACGTTTTATTAATAAAGGATGGACCCTCACTAGAATGAAGGACCTATCCAAAAGGAGAAATATTGGCAAATCTTTATTTTAAATTCTTCATTTCGAGTGATTTCATTTTCACCTTATTTAGCATGGAATATTGCTAAACGAATAAAAATGCAATGTTGAATAGAACCTTATTTTCTCAGATGCTGTGTGTGTATGTGATCCTTGGATTTTCACTCATCATGATACACGATTGACGGATTCTTTATTGTTTTTGTCATTGCTATTTCCGAGTAATTTTTATTAAGGTCAAAAATACTTATCTAATGACGTCAGCTCATGCCAAAAAATGATCGTGTAATGACATTTTACATGTTCGGTTTATAATTGTTTTTGTTTTTTCTAGATGGGATTTCAAAAGTCTGACACAGAACTAACCGGATCGTCCTCCAGAAATGCTGGATTTGGTTCAACCATAATTAACCTTGGGGACATAAACAACGACGGTTTCCATGGTAACGCATTATCAACCAAAACTACATGGTTAATATTGTATACGCTTTATAAACGCTTCATACATTGACAGCGACAGCACTGGTCGATGCTTGTTATCTACGCTCACGAGTTTCTTCAGTGGATAAGCAAATTGGTTAAGGAACCTCGTACCACTGCCAAAAATGTAAACATGAATTGGAAACTTGCTTACCTTGATTTTATCTTTAATAAGTTATTTCATAAAAGAAAGCTATACTTTGCTTAACTTTTGTAAAGAAACAATAAAAATGGAATTAAGAAAAGTGATATCATCAAACATTGTTCTGAGCCTACTTTATACGCTACAGGGCAACGCCGGATTGGGGTCCCTGGGACTCCGATCACAAAACGGTCGCTCTAATCAAATAAGCTACCTGATAAGCAGCATTTCCATGTCCTAGCAGACTTCAGTTGTATTTGAAATAAAATTAATGGACAGGTTACTGTTTGTATCAAAACTACCGTGGATTACTCTAGTGTGTGTCTGCAGTGGGACAGGAATCGTTCATCGCAGCCTCGTAGGTATATATTATGGAAAGTTCTTTTTACACAACCAAAGACATGTTTTCTATGTGACGTGTCGATGACTAGTACGATATGTACACCGTCATGACATGTCATGTACATGTACACATATGACCAGTGAAGCGTATGGACACAAAGGTGTAAAATGTTGTCCACAAAAACGATGTCGATTTCGGCTACGCTGTAAGCGTATGTACAATAGTTGTTATATATGTACCGAAATGACTCAATTGCCAGGGCAATGCGAACAGGTGCATATCCGGAATGGGTACAAAACAGTGTCAAAGTAAAGAAGAACAAGAAAAGGCCAATCAAGGATAAGAACAAAACCAAAGGTCAAGTGGTCATCCCGTATATAAAGGGTATATCCGAAACCATTCAGAGGATAAATCGCGGTCATGTCATAGCAACAGCCATAAAGCCCCACAAGACGCTTTGCAATATCCTAGTACACACTAAGGATAAAACACCTAAAGAAAACGTCGCAGAATGCGTATACAAAAAGACTGGAAGACATTCTGGGGTCCGCCTTGATGAACACCGGAAAGATACAAAACCCCAAGAAGGTAGGAAATTCACCAGATCAGAAGGGAAGCAGTCACAGTACCAGGAAAAAAAATCAGCCATCACAGATCATGTCACACAGATCAATAAATCGGCAATCACAGACCATGTCTCACAGATAAATAAATCGGCAATCACAGACCATGTCACACAGACCATGTCACACAGATAAATAAATTGGCCATCACAGACCATGTCACACACATAAATAAATTGGCCATCACAGACCATGTCACACAGATAAATAAATCGGCAATCACAGACCATGTCACACAGATAGATAAATCGGTCATCACAGAACATGTCACAGACCATGTCACACAGATAAATAAATCGGCCATCACAGACCATGTCACACACATAAATAAATCGGCAATCACAGACCATGTCTCACAGATAAATAAATCGGCAATCACAGACCATGTCACAGACCATGTCACACAGATAAATAAATTGGCCATCGCAGACCATGTCACACAGATAAATAAATCGGCCATCACAGACCATGTCACACAGATAAATAAATCGGCAATCACAGACCATGTCACACAGATAACTAAATCGGTCATCACAGACCATGTCACAGACCATGTCACACAGATAAATAAATCCGCAATCACAGATCATGTCACACAGACCATGTCTCACAGACCATGTCACACAGATAAATAAATCCGCAATCACAGATCATGTCACACAGACCATGTCTCACAGACCATGTCACACAGATAAATAAATCGGCCATCACAGACCATGTCACACAGATAAATAAATCGGCAATCACAGATCATGTCACACAGACCATGTCACACAGACCATGTCACACAGATAAATAAATCGGACATCACAGATCATGTCACACAGATAAATAAATGGGCCATCACAGACCAAGTCACAGACCATGTCACACAGACCATGTCACACTAAATAAATCGGCGGCCATCACAGACCATGTCACAAATCATGTCACACAGATAAATAAATCGGCCATCACAGACCAAGTCACAGACCATGTCACACAGATAAATAAATCGGCCATCACAGACCATGTCACACAGATAAATAAATCGGCCATCACAGACCATGTCACACAGACCATGTCACACAGATAAATAACTCGGCCATCACAGACCATGTCACACAGATAAATAAATCGGCAATCACAGCCCATGTCACAGAACATGTCACAGACCATGTCACACAGATAAACAAATCGGCCATCACAGACCATGTCACACAGCCCATGTCACACAGATAAATAAATCGGCCATAACAGACCATGTCACACAGACCATGTCACACAGATAAATAATTCGGCCATCACAGACCATGTCACACAGATTAATAAATCGGCCATCACAGACCATGTCACACACATAAATAAATCGGCCATCACAGACCATGTCACACACATAAATAAATCGGCCATCACAGACCATGTCACACAGATAAATAAATCGGCCATCACAGACCATGTCACAGATCATGTCACACAGATAAATAAATTGGCCATCACAGACCATGTCACACAGATAAATAAATCGGCCATCACAGACCATGTCACAGACCATGTCACAGACCATGTCACACAGACCATGTCACACAGATTAATAAATCGGCCATCACAGACCATGTCACAGACCATGTCACACAGACCGTGTCACACAGATAAATAAATCGGCCATCACAGTCCATGTCACACAGATTAATAAATCGGCCATCACAGACCATGTCACATCACAGACCATGTCACACACATAAATAAATCGGCCATCACAGACCATGTCCCACAGATAAATAAATCGGCAATCACAGACCATGTCACAGACCATGTCACACAGATAAATAAATCGGCCATCACACACACATAAATAAATTGGCCATCACAGACCATGTCACACAGATAAATAAATCGGCAATCACAGACCATGTCACAGACCATGTCACACAGATAAATAAATTGGCAATCACAGACCATATCACAAAGACCATGCCAAACAGATAAATAAATCGGCCATCACAGACCATGTCACACAGATTAATAAATCGGCCATCACAGACCATATCACACAGATAAATAAATCGGCCATCACAGACCCTGTCACACAGATAAATAAATCGGCAATCACAGATCATGTCACACAGACCATGTCACACAGACCATGTCACACAGATAAATAAATCGGCCATCAAAGACCATGTCACACAGATAAATAAATCGGCCATCACAGACCACCATAGCAGACCATGTCACACAGATAAATAAATCGGCCATCACAGAGCATGTCACACAGATAAATAAATCGGCCATCACAGAGCATGTCACACAGATAAATAAATCGGCCATCACAGACCCTGTCACACAGATAAATAAATCGGCAATCACAGACCATGTCACACAGATAAATAAATCTGCAATCACAGATCATGCCATACAGAAAAATCATGTGTTTGACTGGGATAACTCCAAAGTTTTGGAAAGAGAGAGTAATCTGTTCAAGCGGCAGATAAAGGAAGCCATCTTGATAAGCCGCAGTGGGCCGGTTCTAAATCGAGACTAGGGGGCTCAAAGATTCTCGCATATCTATGACCAAGTATTAAACAAAGCGTACATCGACATCGATTTTGTGGACAACTCGAAAACATTTTACACCTTTGTGTGCATACGCTTCACTGGTCATTTGCCTGATGAAGGTGATAGTTTACATATCGTACTAGTCATCGAAACGTCACATAGAAAATATTATTGGTTGAGTAAAAAGAACTTTTCATAATAAGGTATATGTTGGTAAGAGTGGCGAATCGTCACCTAAATGGTATGGTATATTGGTGTCTTGAATATATATGGGTAAGAGTGGCGAATCGTCACCTAAATTGTATGGTATATTGGTGTCTTAGGTATATGTTGGTAAAAAGTGGCAAAGCGTCACCTTAATGGTATGGTATATTGTTGTCTTAGGTATATGTGGGTAAGAGTGGCGAAGCGTCACCTAAATGGTATGGTATATTGTTGTCTTAGGTATATGTGGGTCAGAGTGGCGAAGCGTCACCTAAATGGTATGGTATATTGTTGTCTTGAATATATATGGGTAAGAGTGGCGAATCGTCACCTAAATTGTATGGTATATTGGTGTCTTAGGTATATGTTGGTAAAAAGTGGCAAAGCGTCACCTTAATGGTATGGTATATTGTTGTCCTAGGTATATGTGGGTAAGAGTGGCGAAGCGTCACCTAAATGGTATGGTATAGTGTTGTCTTATGTATATGTGGGTAAGAGAGTGGCGAATCGTCACCTAAATGGTATGGTACATTGTTGTCTTATGTATATGTGGGTAAGAGTGGCGAAGCGTCACCTTAATGGTTTGGTATATTGTTGTCTTATGTATATGTGGGTAAGAGTGGCGAAGCGTCACCTAAATGGTATGGTATATTGTTGTCTTATATATATGTGTGTAAGAGTGGCGAAGCGTCACCTAAATGGTATGGTATAGTGTTGTCTTGTGTATATGTGGGTAAGAGTGGCGAAGCGTGACCTAAATGGTATGGTATATAGACCATAGTATCTTTCTAACATATCCTTGACGGCATTTGTTATCTCCCTCCTCCGTTTTGTTGACAGACGTAGCGGTTGGGGCGCCTTACGAGGCTGACTCCCGAGGAGCTGTTTACGTGTACCTGGGGACTCGGGACGGGGTGTGGCCCGTACCAGTACAGACCGTTCACGCCCACACACTTGACCCAGGCCTCAGGGGATTTGGTGGCGCTTTCTCCCGGCCTCATGACATAGACAAAAATGGATTTAACGGTTAGTTCTGTTCATTATTTTTAATTCGTTACATGTACTACCCTTAAGTAAAAGGAGATTTATAGTGAATAACATTTCGGAAATTTGATGTTGACAACACTACGGTATGTGTAGGCTTCGCAGAAGTGCACAATGTCTATAACTATAATGGTAAAAATCACTGTTAAACATATCATTAAAGTTCCATTTCCATAAAATATGCCACAAAATTTACATTTTCTCCTAATAACAGTAATTAAAAGTGTCTGTCAACAAATTTAATAGTTGCGTAAAATAATCTGATTCTCATTTAACGTACCGATTCTAATGCACACATATTATCTCTCGTAAGAATAGCACTGCTCGTCCTGGGTATGAAATATACGGCAATAGTCCCTTTAATGTTCATGATAAATAACTTGATGATTGCGTTTACTGAATACAGGAAAAAGGCATTTTAATGCTTTCATATTTATCATTTCATTTCATCATCTTTCTGCGAAAAAGCCAAATCGATTTTTTGATTGTTCTGATTGGTTTTTTTTTTTGTTTAGTGTCAGTGTGATATATATGTTCACTTTTATTTTACTAAGCCTCATGGCTAACTCATGTAGTGGTTAACTAGTAAGGGATTACATTTGAGGCCAAACACATACGGGATACGATAAGTGTAAAACAATCTGTGTACATATAGAAAGAAATTATTGGAGTTATCCTTCTTACGTTGCAGTGACTGAATACAACTATTAACATCGTTTGTATTTGACTCAGTTGGAAGTGCACTTGGGTAAAATATGGACAAACCAGCTTGGTCATCCCATTAGTTAGGCCTTAGTGTCTTTCATCAATGAACAAGTGATATTGTATTGTATATTACACATGTTACTGCACGGACAGATCAGATCAAGTTTGCTACGTCAAAGGACACTGGTTACGAACAACTACATTATCAGGTTCAATTGTCATAAACATTATATTCTTCTTGTATTCAAACACATATATCACCTCCATGTCCACCACAGGACTTTACAGCTATCAAATACTGTTTTCCTTTTGGTATATTTCAACAAATCGTAATTGACATTCTTCAATCTACGCCCCGGGGTGTCTTACATAACATAATTTCCTTATCTCGACAGGTGCTACGACGGAGGCAATATATGTGGTTGGGATTCTGCAGCACCTTATTTTTTTCTCCGTGTTTGAGTGCGATTTTATTACGCATTTCGATATCTTTTGACGTCCTCTAGTTTCTTTGTTTTTAGCTATCGAAATAACCCTGTTTTGACTACGTGATGCGTTTTCTATTGTAGTAGTTTTTGTTACAATTGTTTATTTCAGATATTGTTGTGGGAGCTCACATTTCTAATCAAGCTGTATTACTACGCACACGTCCTATGCTGAATTTGGCTGTGGTTTTTATCGTTGCACCGAAGAAAATAGATCCTGGTCGGAAATGTACAAATTATGGGTTACCTTACCCGTGTGCAAGAGTGAGGTTTTGTTTTTCGTATCAAGTTATTGGAAAGCCGGTCCCCGATGAAATAGGTCAGTACAAAGTTCGCCAATTGCATTTTAATATTTACTTATCTTGTTAGACGGCGCTCTATCATAGCTAAACAACACATTAAGGTAACGTTGAAAAGTGATTACGTAAAGATAAATATTACAAATATTTCATATATCAGCGTTTCACACTGTACCACAGTACTTACATTCTTAACTTTCTAATACCAATCACAAATTACCATCTGACCATTTGATACAACACATAAAATTTGCATACAATACATGTGTAAATACAGTCTTAATTTTGAGTCGGGTGTAGTAAATGGCAGTTGATCTTACTCATATTTCTTAGAATTATCGATACTCCAGGGCTAACGCTCACTTAGCTCTCTATACCCCTTGAATATGTCAAAGAAAAAATGAATGCACGTAGCTAACTATTTGATTTGTCTTCGGAAAAAAAACTGATAAATCGCTTGGCCAATACCTGTCCTTTGACATTTACAGAGGAGCTACACTCGACTTCAAAGCTAGTCAATTGTACCGTTACGCGACCGCGATATTCGTTTTATGTTGTCAAAAGATCACGCCAGTCCTCGTGTCTTTCCACAAGGTGGCTCACAATGAGCCTTTGATTTTGCTATGCCATATTTCAAAGGTACAGAGAGCGTATGTGAGCATAACCCCAGGTGTATCGCGGATGGTATATCAGGGTGGTAGTGCGGTGCAGTGGTAGGCATACTCGCCTTGCACAAAGACGGCCATGGGGATTGTTACAATTTCAATAAATTTTATTGTCAGAGGACAAATGGATTTGGCAGCAGGCATAGCCTATTTAAGTCTTTCCAAACATAGTAACAAACAGTGGTACAAGCATAGACATAGACATTAGAACATATACAAACACATATAAACAAGTTGATATTATCAAATAAATAATCAAATTAAGTGAAACAACCACTAATACTCATTTTTATTATTATTGAATCTAATAGTTTAAATTCTTAACCTTTTATTTTGATACCGAAAAGACATATATACATATTATTAAGAGCAAAGAAAAATAATTTGTTGATGGAGCTGCATGTATAAACATTTGATGGGATTAAATTATCGCACCCAACAGATACAGGCCTGGGGAATTGTTCACGGCTACCTCCTTGTTAACACCTCAGGCAGGCTTCTATCCTGGTTACAGAGATGTAACAAGTTTGTAAGGTTATACACTTGTTTCATATTTGTTGTTACATAGATAAGATTCATAATAGTGTCATAATAAACTTCAGCTTACAAGATCCACACCTGGTGGTGACGTTATTTATTTGTGGGAAATGCTGTAGGACTTTTCTAACTATACGTGTGAGAGGTTATTCTACTGGGAAGACCAACACACGAGGGATTGTAATATAATTATTACCTTAAACTGAAATGAAAAAAATACATGATGATTGAATCCTAACAGCAAACACTGTCTTAAACGTGCTTTAAACCTTCTATCAGATAAACCGATATTCAGAAACTTTCCAAATGCAAACAATGTACAAGTTTTCCTTGAAAATCATTCGTTGATTCGCAATCAAGTAGATATACATTTTCAATATTTTTCTATCAACCGATAACAGCATTCAAATAGCCACCTTTGAAAATAATAAATAGGCACCTTTGAAAATAAACAACGAATGTTTTATTTATAGAGAGACATCCATTTTCTGTATAAATTTCATCGCATTTAATTCTCAAATATTCAACAAGCTTGTATACTTTGATGTTTTCGGCTAACAGATTTGAGGTATACACTTGACGTGGACGTTACACGTGGTCGGAGAACAAATCGAGCTGTTTTTATCGAATCTTTGAAGAACGCCACTTTAACGGAAATGACGTCATTATCAGGAAGTTTTGTTCTGTCAAAAAACTCACAAACTTGCAGCGAACTTCAAACATTTTTTCTCAAGGTAAGCACATGATTCATTTTATTTGTGTTTGCATTGTAAAGTTTTGCGTCGCATTTGTAGCTTACATATGTTGGAGATAATTAGAACTAAAGTCACCAGTCCAACGTATCCCCCGATATGTTCGTTGATAGCTCTCTGATCAGTTGAAAAAGATAATCACTGCCTAGTGTAACCTGTGACGGTCGATGGAATAGGTCGAACCTGGGGAAAAAATACTATGTTATCAAACTCTTCTGATTTATACTCACCAATGTCTCTTCTAACACAGGAAAAAAGTCCTGAAAGATACCCTCTGGGGAAAATTTTTGAGGTCATTTTTAATTTCTGTCTAATTTTCGTCATTTTTCTCCAAATATAAAAAAAAAAGAATATGGGTTCGATGAAGGAAAACTCGTAATTCCGACTGTTGTGTGATAATAGTGCTGCAAACTGACTTATGTATTAAACATAAAATACTATTTTGTTCTGTGACTTATAATACATTGTTTCTGGAATGGACAACATATACAAAAATCCAAGATGGCTGCCAATATGTGGGTAAAACCGGAGCACCTCTGCTGTATGTTATAAGCCTAGCCCAAATACGTTTTGTAAAAATAAACACTTGACAATTTGGATACATGTTTATTTATACCGTACAACGCTAATTGAAAACCGTTCAGGCTCAATTCGATTACATCGATCAACCATTGCCTGATACCTGATGTGTCTCAACGTGGTCAGTGAAGTCAAAGACTCATCATCCTTTGCTCCGTAGAGTTGACAGAATATTGAGATACCAAGAGAACCGATTTGTTGTGGTGTTTTTTCCCCATTAGTGAAACCTTGAGGAAGAAGTTGGATACTGTCTGACTTTGGAAACACTTTCTATATGTGTGTCTTTCCTTGTCCAAAAGTAGATGATGTAGTATCACATCCGCTCCAGGCATGAATGAACAACATATTTTGTCGCACAACTGTGTCTATGACTTCATGGGCTTCACGAATGCTATACACCTCGGCACCTTTCTTCTGTGAGCCTGTCTTGCTTTCTTTTCTGATGAATATATCAGCCATGTTTGTTTTCCAATGGTGTATCAGCAATATGAAAATATTTGTGTCTTTATGCGACAACCACCGCTGATTGGTTATTCTGTGAAAAATCCAGAGCGGCTGATACGATTAAGGTATCTACATCGCCGTCACTGCATTTGGTGGTATGCCCTTTTGACTGCAGGATACCTACAAGAAGCTCTATGAATTGTGTCTTATTCTTGGTGTTCGTGAAAAATGCCTCTTGATCCCGATGACATTTGGACGACGCACCAGTGACTGTGATATCAGCTGCTCTTTTTGCTGAACGCCTTAGGTGTTCATGATCCTTTGTGGATGGCCCTTCATATCCATCAAAGACAACACAATACAATCCATACTTATTCAAAAGATAGCATTCGCATTGTTCAGCAACCTCCCAATATGTTGTGTCCCTTTTCCATCGAATGCGGTGTTACAGCCAGCCATCATCTATGACAATCTGATTGTCTTTGAGCAAACAAGACGCTTCAAGGTTGGTCATATTTTTCTTGATCACCATGGCCAATTCTGATTTGTCTGTATTTCTCATATAAGAATCATTGAAGAGTGATGTAGGTATCGCCGTCATTTCATACTTAGAGTATGATTTGATGTCCTCCGACTCACGGTGTGCTCGTGTTGTGCAGCGCATGCATAATACAGATGGCTCAATGTGGACGTTCTTCTTCCCTATGATGTCCGAGCGTGGACAGATCTTTTTATATGTGCGTTAGTTACAGCTATGCCATCTATAGTGACTGGTGAATCTTCTGGCCCACCAGTTCTGCCTCATCACAGTTGATCCCATCCTCGTCAATTGCCATTAAACCTGTTGTTAGTGACCGTAATGAAGATAGTTCTGTGTTGAACGGGTCATGCTGCTCGAACCAGTCAAGTATTTTCTCCAAGTCTATCAAGTCTCGCTAACACCTGGATTTACCACGTTCGACAGGTTGTGAAATTGTCAAATGATGTCGATTTGTCAGACTGGTCATTGCATCATGAACAGCGGCGCAATGATGCATGCAATACACCCATTGATGTCTCACGCTTTCCGTCATACCACGACCTCTGGTCAGACCACCTCTAGCTTTCATTGATCGCATCAATGTTTGCTCGATACATAAATCTGTCCATAGGCCAGCCCAATACCTGTCGCTCCTGCGTATTGCATGGTGACCTTCCGTGAACTTCTGGTAGATCCATGGGTGAGCTCTCTCATGAACTGTAGGTAAAGTATTGAAAAGTGCATACTGGACTTAGGAGCTAACCTGGAGAAAGTATTATTTAGCTGTTCATGGGGATTGCATGCTTGCTGCTAATAGCTGTATCCTCTGTATGTACCCAACTAATTTTTTTTCACAATATCAGATAACACGTTATACATCTATATATGCAATATTAGTGTTAGTTTATTATTATAATATATTATATTATTACAATATATAATATTATCATAATATATCTGTACCAGGCCGAAGTGGGCTCGTACCATTTTTTTTTTTATCCGGATACTTTCAGCCATCTTGGATTTTGAAATATGATGCCAATACCGGAGACAATTAGTTTTGTCAAAGTAGGATATAGAGTTATGTGTAATAAATTAACAGAAATATCTTTCCCGAAAGTGTGTATATTTCTAAGGAGGGGGATGGTTTATTAGAAGTGGTATAAGGTTAGAAATGAAGCGTCGGAAATACGCACACAGAAAAGGAAGAAAAAGTAATGTACATCTCTAAATGCATGCTTATGTTCAAACACAAAACGTACTAAGAAGGGATGACGTGGTGAGATGCTCTTTGTAAGATGTCTTGACTCCGTGTTGAATATGTATGCTTCTTGACTATCAAGCATTTTAAAGTTATTGGATAGGTCAATACACATACTTTGCAATTTTTTATACAGGCCTGAAAAATAACTGCAAATTAAAAAAGAAATCATTATTTGGTAAATTAGAAGTTTGATGATACTCATATAACGTTATCACGAAGTCAATGAATAGTGGTATAGGACCAGACTTTTATCACTTTGACGTTCTAATTACAGAGTACAAAAGACCCGTACGAAGATATTACCGTAGAATTACGGTTTTCCGACAGCTACCGAAATACAAGCTCTATCTTACCAATATCTGCTCCTTACGCTGCTAAAGACAAGGTTTATCCTGCTCAACAATATATTAGACGGAAGGTAAGTTGAACAAACAACAACAATCAATTGTCAACAACTGTTATCCGTCCGCTCGTTTAATTATATCAAATAAATGATGAAATTAACGTATTAACGTAGTATAATGTTTCAATACATGCATGTGATACAGACATAGCGCAATGTTTTGCTGTTTCAGAAACGTATAAATTATATACAAAAATGTATTAACACATAATATTTCATCTGCATGTTGTCTTGAATACCCTTAAAACAACAAGAAACCACGCAAATTCCTCATAGCCTAAACCAGACTACAATGTAGCACCTAGCAAAGGTTCTAATCAGACGCAGTCAATGTATCGCCAACGACTGCAATTAATGAGATTCCTGAGCTGCATACGGAATCTTTGTTAATTCTCATCGACGTAGTTTTTCTTTCGATATTCCGCCCAACGTATTGTCATGTTAGCTAGTGATAATGAGCTTTTGTCTGGAAGATGTTATGAGAAGGGATAGAAAAAAGATTTGAATACACACATCACCAATTAACGTCAGTCTTCTAGTTTTCTTGAAGAAAGGATGGTAAAATAATCTACTGAAACTTTAATAAGTATGATTACATTTTTTACTTAGGAAGATCTAGTTATTTTATTATAAATTTAGTTGTTGATACTAATAGAAGTACACGCGCTGTATTGTTTACATGCCTATTCAGCTTCTACACGTAACGTAGGTAAATTCTAGCATAGGGTGCGCTGTATACACCATCAGTGTTACCCTAACTGTCAGTGTAACCTTGTGATGTTACCCTAACTGTCAATGTAACCTTGTGATGTTACCCTAACTGTCAGTGTAACCTTGTGATACTTACAGTCACAACTAGGACCGCTAATGTAAGTCAGTGAAACCAGAGGTCGTTTACCATTAGCAATTGCCAAAACCGAATTACATTGTGACTCTGCTAACAAGAAAGTATGATCACGAAACAGTTTTAACAGATTTACGTGGGTTGTAGCCACGGAGGAGGATGGAAACTTTTGAATTTGCACATGTTACATGTAACTTTTTAACATTGCAATGTGCCCACTGTGAAAAAAACTATCACAAAAATGCCCTCTTGTTCAGAAATCCTTAACCAGTCACGAGTAAAGCCTTGTTCGACAACTTACAAATACATCAACATACCGCCTTCAGCATTTAACACTAGGATACACATCGTTAAATGATCTTATCTGTTAACCTAAACCCCCTCAGGGTCTGGAGATCTGAGTTAGTGACGTCTGTGATACTCCCACTGAAACATTTAATGTTTACACATTATATAACATTACTTGATTGCATTGGTGTTTGAAACTTTCTTTTTGTTGTGAATATCAACAGCTAGGGAGACCGCGTTACATGGCTTAGCTAGTGCGATCGGGTTACATGGCTTAGCTACGGCGACCTGGTTACATGGCTTAGCTAGGGCAACCGGGTTACATGGCTTAGCTAGTGCGACCGGGTCACATGGCTTAGCTAGGGCGACCGAGATACATGGCTTAGCTAGGGCGACCGGGTTACACGGCTTAGCTAGGGCGACCGAGTTACATGGCTTAGCTAGGGAGACCGGGTTACATGGCTTAGCTAGTGCGATCGGGTTACATGGCTTAGCTAGGGGACCGGGTTACATGGCTTAGCTAGGGCGACCGGGTTACATGGCTTAGCTAGGGCGACCGGGCTAGGGCGACCGGGTTACATGGCTTAGCTAGGGGACCGGGTTACATGGCTTAGCTAGTGCGACCGGGTCACATGGCTTAGCTAGGGCGACCGAGTTACATGGCTTAGCTAGGGCGACCGGGTTACATGGCTTAGCTAGGGCGACCGGGTTACATGGCTGAGCAAGGGCGACCGGATTACATGGCTTAGCTAGTGAGACCGGGTTACATGGCTTAGCTAGTGAGACTGGGTAACATGGCTTAGCTAGGGCGACCGGGTTACATGGCTTAGCTAGGGCGGCCGGGTTACATGGCTTAGCTAGGGCGACCGATTTACATGGCTTAGCTAGGGCGATCGGATTACATGGCTTAGCTATTTCGATCGGGTGACATGGCTTAGCTAGGGCGACCGGGTTACATGGCTTAGCTAGGGCGACCGATTTACATGGCTTAGCTAGGGCGATCGGATTACATGGCTTAGCTATTGCGATCGGGTGACATGGCTTAGCTAGGGCGACCGGGTTACATGGCTTAGCTAGGGCGACCGGGTTACATGGCTTACAGTTGCAACCGCCAATCTGACCCAGTGAAACAAGGGCATAAAGTCGTCAACCTTACTGTTGCCAGATTACACTCAATGTTGGGGTCAGACCAGTATTTTCACAACCAAAATGTCTGAAGTAACCTGCAGTTTTGTTTCAACGAAACAATGACATCCTAAATCAACACGTACTTCTGTTGCCAATTATCAACAAGTCACTGACTTTACTTAGTGCCAACGTAGAAGTTGCCGGTGCATGACATTGCAGCATACCATTCTAAGGTACACGACGCTGAAATGGCGATGCTGTGAATATGTGCAAGAAAAAACATGATACACTAAGTTTCTATTACAAATTCATTGTCGGTTGATGACGCAGGCCGTGGTATCAACTTTAGGAGAGGCCAGTTTTATAAAGAATCGATATTCCCTCAGGGGATACAAGACTCATTTCTCATGTATAGACATCGCCAGTGTACGCATTGTCCACCTACACTGTCAAGGAAATGGCATTGATACCGCTTCCATTTATTTTGTGGATTCCTAGGTCGAGCATCCATTAGTGTCCTCGGCGGGCTCGGTTTCACACCGCCAAGCTTACAGCTGTAATGTTATGACGTTGTGTACCTCTAACGGGACACTTTAATGTCACCAATCACCGAACAGTGCTTTCATTTTAATTATGTCGATGGAACCTGACAAGATATGAGGTTGTTGATAGCATCAATGTTCATGAGGCACAATAGTCTAGGGGTAGGACGCCGGGCTCGTGACCGAAGGGTTGCGGATTCGAGTCACATCACGGCACTGTGTTGTATCTTTGAGCTAGATACTTTACTCCGCTTGTTCCAGTCTACTCAGCTGTAAATGAGTACGTGTTTGGGCAGTTCTATACTTGTAGAATGCTAGCTGTGAGCGCCGAAATGGCAACACAGGCTGTATGCTCCCCAGGGAGTTGAGAAAGGTATTGGCTTGTTGCTAATGCCCTATAACCACTAATAATAATTTGTGAACTACGTTAAGACGACCTACGAACAAGGTTGTGATAAAGCGGTATACAAAAACCTCGAATTTGTTTGTATATTAATCAGATCTATTGACTTTGTACTGCTCCTTATTAAGGTGATTTTTAACTCGGTGACACACGACCGTATTAAATGTAAAACATGTGGTCACATTGCCTGTTTGAATCTAGATGATTGTATTGTAATACAACATATACATTCGGAAAAATGTATTGTTCCCTAAGAAGGTTTTGAATTTCAATAGGAATCTTACATGCATACAAAGCGTGTTTGATGTTCCATATTGTAATCTTAATTGAAATTTCAGTATTCGAGGTACTGCAGCATCGTCTGATCATTGTCATCACTATACTTAACTGTGTTGTCTTTCCGGGATAAACAGTGTAGTATTACCATTCTTAATCAACATTTTGTTAGCATTTCAATTTTGTAAAGTAATGTAATTGAGGACAGTTATAATGGTGGGTGAACTTCCACAATCAAATCTTGACCAGAAAACAATGTTGCAACATTCTGCAATATTAAATTCCATCAGACTTCAAGCTTTCCCCTGGTCCAGGTGACATTTACATCAGGACTTGTCAAGGATGCTGTCATGATAAATAAACCGCAGGATACTTTAATTAACAAACTACGTAACGTATACCTTTTTATAATGTTATCAAATTGATTTGGACTGTCCATACAATGTTTATAAATTGAATGTGATCGTATTCATGTTCCGGCATGTAACATATTGTTCGATGGATGCTTCCTTGGTTATTTTTTCTGTAAAGGTTATTGCGATTTTTCATTTGTTATATTGTATAACATCCACGATACTCCAGGGGTTAGACACACTTATGTTCTCTGAACCCTTGAAATGCCATGACGAAATCAAAGGCACTCGGCTTGCTATTTGAATGGTTTCAGATAAAACAAACACTTTCCAATCGCTAACTGCCCTTTGACGATTACAGAGGAGCGACACACGACTGCAGGGCCGATCGATGTTACTGGTACTCTGTCCCGGTATTCTGTTGATGTACATCAAAGGATAAAGCTAGTCTTCAAGTACCGCCCATAAGGTGGCGCGCACGGAGTCTTCGATTTTGTCATGATATATTAAAAGTTGCACACATCTGAGCGTGGCCCCTACAGTATCGAGAGTGATTTTACCATACATATAGCCCCTTAAGTATCGAGGGTGATTGAGCATACCTTTAGCCCCTGTAGTATCGAGGTTGAATGGAGCATATAACTATAACCCCTAAAGTATCGAGGGTGATTGGAGCATACCTATAGCCCCTGAAGTATCGAGGGTGATTGGAGCATACCTATAGCCCGTAAAGTATCGAGGGTGATTGTAGCATACCTATAGCCCCTGAAGTATCGGGGGTGATTGTAGCATACATATAACCCCTAAAGTATCGAGAGTGATTGTAGCATACCTATAACCCCTAAAGTATCGAGGGTGATTGTAGCATACCTATAGCCCGTAAAGTATCGAGGGTGGTTGGAGCATACCAATAGCCCCTGAAGTATCGAGGGTGATTGGAGCATACCTATAGCCCCTAAAGTATCGAGGGTGATTGGAGCATATCTAATTCAGAGTCCGTCTATTATTGTATTAGAATATGTTATATTGTACAGGTTAACTAAATGAAGGGAACATTTACTTCTTTAACATGTATTACACTTTTCTCACTGATAACGGTCTCGCACGTCACCCTGCTTTCATTTAAGTAACTCAGATATGATGAACGCCAACATATTAACGGTCAATATACACACTCTTAAGCGTAAACTCCTACGTCCTGTTGTACCAACATCAACTATTTGTATATGTTAATATAACGCAATAAGATCACAGTAATATAGAGGAGTGCCGAGAGATGCAGTAAAGCCGTAACTGTTTTCGAAAAGAGCAGTTATGATGTGGTTATGTTAAAAGCAACATAAAAGGTTAGAAAAGGAAAACTTTGCACAATCGTCTCTGATATTGCCATGGGTATACAAGAGATAATCGTGTTTCCCTTCAACGTCCCCTAATTATAGAACATGGGAGACAATTCTGTTGAGCCGCGCGTCCTACATCTGTTGGCCCATACGACAATGCAGTGGAATAAAACATGACAATTACTCACCGACCCGTAGCCATAGTGGTTGCAATAGTTATATAATGAAGTGTTACAATGTAGATAGCTGATTAATGCTTGATATATGTCCCTTGTGCAAAACATAATTACGGCTACAGTAATGTCTAAAGCGAAATGAAGGGGAGGCAATTGTGTATACAAAACACAACGGTGCTGTCGGACAAGAATCTTCAATATGACATCAGTATGGGACTGAATTCGTAGCCTTATGATTATGATTTTTGAGCCGACCAAAGGATTCAAGCACATTCATCTCTATTACAATAGAGTATAAATGCTGTAATTTTATTTTCTAGATTTCTATAATGAAGGACTGTGGGCCTGATGACATCTGTAAAAGCAGTCTCGATCTATTGAAGACGACAGTGATGATTGGACGATCAAATTCTACATATATTGTCGATGTCAGTAATGACGTCAGAGTAAACATTTCACTCATCAATCGAGGAGAAATAGCATATGCCACTACGTTGAAGTTGGTTGTTCCGTGGAATCTAGCGTTACGAGCAGGATGGAGAACAATGGCAAACACCAACACACTTCTCGATTGCAAGATAAGGCAAATACGAACGAACTCGGAAACACGTGATATCATTTGTAACATTGGTGATGTCAAGTTTCTTGATGACGTCATTGGCGTGTCAATTCAGTTTGCAATTAGATCAGAGTTTTCAACAGAAAGTTTCAACATTATTTCATCAATACAAACCCGGAGTAGTGATACAGTGGTTGACAGGAAGACAACGGTTTCCGAGGTCAAAGTGCAATACCTGCCAAGCGTTAAGGTCACGGGGTAAGTGTTGTTTTCTTTGGTCGTATTCATTTTGATATCAACTATGAGCAATTACCGTGTATCTTTTCGCTCATTTTTCATGTAGAGGTAGAGTGTGTGGTATCACCGACAATAACCTTCAATTTGTTCGGCAATGTTCTTACTACAATGGCAAACAGAAAGAAAAATGCCGAACATAGTATCCTTTTTCACAAAATTATATCCGCAGACCTATTGATTATGAAACAGGGATCTTATCCACTGCAGGTCCGGTCATGATATTTTTTTTGTTAATCCTTCCTGTAACACTACTTGCAGGAATAGCTTTCAAAATGTTCAATATCTCTTAAAGGGCCCGCAAGCTAAACTTGTTTTGTATGAATACAGAAGAAATAACATAAAGTTTCAAAAAAGCCTTTCAAGTTCCTGTGTAAAGTTGACAAGTGGTAGAACTCTTTATTTAAATCATCGCGAAAACATCCTCACGAGAGCACACTAACACGCTATGGTCTATATCATGTTAGAATTTGTCAACGTCGAAAAACAAACATCTATTATAACAGTAAATATTGATAGAGCATATAACGTCACATGAAATGCTAACGACTTGAGATCCAGCTGCTAGATGTTCCTAATATCAATACAACTTGTATTCCGTCTTTGCGTATTGCAAAGTTATCTTCTCTTGTGAACAGGTATTGATTGTTACGTCATTGGTTTGTAACAATCAATACCTGCTCACAAGAGCAGATAACTCTGCAATACGCAAAGACGGAATATGGAAATGAAAAATGATCCATCCCATTCATTTAATTGAATTGATATGATATTCATCCCTAGTTCATGTTGTGTAATTACGAAATTGTATTTCTCCTACTAAATAGCCTTTTATGATGTTTATCCGACGTTATTGATATGGAATAAATACTAAAAGCCTCTGATTTTAACCCAAGATGTAGACGTATGGTTGATTGCTACAGGCTTTGCTCAGATTCGCGATCAGTGCAGATCTATAAATAAACTCCCCGTTCTGTGTAATGAGTTGATCATTACTGTTCCCCGACAGTCGGAGTGCCGCAGGCGAACATAGAGTGTACATTGTTTGCCCTCAGCAGGACTTGTATTTGTTCCTTTATATTGTATGTCTTCCCGATATTTGTGCAGATCAATATTTTTCCTTGTTGGGATAAATTGAATCACTTCTAATCTAAATATCAGATTACATGTGCCGCGCAAATACAGTTTGATGTCTGCATATGAATGCGAGTTTTAAGGAAAAGGTCATACCATCCACTTAATAGTTCCAGTCCTAAATAAATCAGATTTCTCTCCGTATAAACTCACGACCAATTAGTATCAAAGCAATCTCGTACCAACACCGTCAAAAAGAGAGCAGACCGTTACTGTATCGGAACGTGTGGCTTTTTTTACAAGCATTTTCATTGCATTGTATCCATAACATATACTACATTGGTTCTATAGTTTCAATCATGTCAAACATGTCTAAAACGGACGAATTTCAACGAACATCACGAATTCAAGTTATTGTATCCAATGAGAAGTGCGTGTTTTACACCACAAATATAAGTTCATAGCGACAATTTTCACTTTTTTCCGGTTCTGCTTGGATGATTTCTCAAATTCCTAACATACTTACATACGTACATAATGTCTCAATGTTAATCGTAAAATTGGCATGACTACAGGAAATAAAAGTTGTATATATATGAATGCGATGATATTTATTTCATAACATAGCGTATGAATATTTATTGAAAATGATTTTTTTACCACAGATTTTCTACGCCTGACCAGCGCGTGATGTCAGAGAGACACGATTTTAGAGGTTATGAGAACGTCACTCACATATATGACGTCACTAGCTTTGGCCCAAGTTCCCTGTCTCGTGGGATCTTCACCGTCCATTTACCTGTCAGGGAGAGCTACATCGACCTACGTAGATATACAGTAGGTTTAACTCATGGGTAATAAGTAATTATCAGATAATTTAAAGTATTATAGATACATGAGAGTCAGCCAATTTCAAAGAAATACTTCCATCAAATTTAACATTTAATCGAACATTTGTTGTCATGATATCGTAAATCGTAAAAACAACAACGCGTGAATTGTTACTTCCCGAAATACCTGTCACGTGTCGTACGTGCTCTTATATGATAAGTTGTTTAGTCTGATGACCAATCAATCAACGGCACTTCCGCACGGATTTTTTTTTACATCAGTCAGCCCGTCCTTGCCACTGAAGTCGGGACATATCTTATAAATCTTGGTACGAACAATTGCCAACTGTTTTGCAAATACCTCCTAAGATGGCGGAATGTGGCGTTTTATAATCGCGCTGTTTGAACCGAATATAAGCAGCGTAATGACCGTTTGTCATTTTTAGAAGCGAAATGTGCAATACTTTACCTTGCTATTATTCTATATAACACATTATTCAATGCTTGTTTCTTTGTACAGTGACAATGTCGTTATCATAGGTATACTGAGCGAAGGTTTAAATGTTGACCACGTGCAACGTTAACATGTAAATCTCTAAGATACAAAATCACTGGGAAAAGTCCAGGCCAAAGTTCCTAAAAATGGTACTTGTTATTCCCTGCTTAACGTTCAGCTTTAAGGGTAATGGCAACAACTGGTTCACCCGTTGTCAGTATAATGTGACTGGGTGGAATGTTGTGATGGGTGCCTTCGGCATGGTATTTCAGTGAGATAGCACTATAAAGTCGGCAATAGATCCGCACTATCACAAGGAGGCAAATACACTAGCATACCATATCTACTGCACACACACGCAAGCACACATGCACAACACACATGGATGAACGTCATTAAATGACATCAGCAGTTAATAGGACATTAAACAAAATAAAACCAAATCAATCACTGGAAAAATCCCCCCATATCATTTTGTCGAGACTGGTATGTGTAAAATGATAAATTGCCAGAATAAGCCGTATTAGGCAGCGAACTACTTACCCGGACTTGTACTAATTACATAGTGAGCTGTGATGCCTCTGCAAATTTCATCCCTGAAATATTTATCTAATAGCCTCATCCCAGAACTATATGTCTAATAGCTTGATTGCTGAGGAATACACCGTCGTTCCGGACGCTTATAAGGTATTACCTCTGATCCGCTCAAATTCATTGTTGATGTTGTCCACTAGTTACTTATAATCTTATTTTAATGAAGGGTTTTCCCCCTATAAATAAAAGCGTTTAACTCTCACAAGTTATTGATTGTTATAAATGTACTGTAAACGTGCTACGTTAAGTATCATTTATATTTAAATATCACAGTGTCTCTTATGGGGGAGTTAATGTACATCTTTAGCTGCAGAACATGCTAGTACACGTTTTCCTTAGTATACTTGCTAACGAAAAGGTCTAGGCGCTAATTTATGATAACTCAGTTTCATTGCTCATTGAGCGCTTACATACGAGTCATATCTATGATTGAGTGAGGTAATATCTGTACGATACTGATGATGTACATTAGAATTAATCACTAAAGTAACGTAATCTCCGACTTGTTTTAAGTGCAATTCGTTTGGTTTTCCAAAATTGATTAGTACGAATATGGATAAGTTCTTCCTGTGAAAGTTAAGTTTTTGCTGGTGTTCTGTTGTAGTGCTTTTCTCCCTATTTTAAATGGGATGGGGCTTTAAAACAGTCAGGCTAGGTTTGTAAAATACATTTATATTTTGTGTTTGTCTCAACATGCAAGTTAGATCTTCTACATGGTAATTTGCGCTCGGGACGCAAACAGGATTAGGTTTGATAAGGTCACGCCATTGTTGCCTTGTCAACATAAGCCTTGCATTTAAAGACACACCGTATGTTTTCTCTAATTACTGATATAACCTGACATTGAATAAAATGTTAGCCATCACCTTATTGTAGATCGATACTGAAGGAAGGGTCAGCTGTGAAGTAAACAGAAGCTCGACTTGGACGGCCGTATATAAGACAAGAGATACGACAATTCGCAAGAAAATGATGATAGTAAGTTTAAAAAAATATTTCCTGTAGAAAGCTTTATTAGATAGGCGAGTAAAGCAATTTTTAGAAGATTGAGATTGAAAGGAAAGTTATTAATATTTTCTCCGTATCTTACGCTAAGGATGCTAAAATTCTGATGGCAGATGTGTACTGTATAGCGCTTTAAATTCGCGGGGTCAACATTTCGCGGTTCCGTATTCATAACATATTCGCGGGAGTGAAAACACTGATCCCGAGCGTCGTCACTGCAAGTGACTTCACTCGAAAGAAAATCAAATTTGTGTATGGAACTTTGTTGGAGTAAACTGTAATCAATTAATCACCTACTGTTTACACATCAATATGTTGTGACAACTTATATGTAAATGTTGTTTTTACAACGACTGCCCAGTTGTCGGTTGATAATCTGATTTGAGTTAATTTAAGCTTGCATAACAGCGTAGGGTTATACGTATTTTCAACATGTTGTGATCAGGTCCGTAAAAGTGGTTAACATTTTCGATAATTTCGCTGGTGCTAAGAATTCGCGGGTTTTAGTCAAAGTGCGATATGGCGCGAAATTAAAACCCCGCGAAATGTAACCGCTATACAGTATTCGGGTTTTTAGTCCCTACATTGTAATTGCTATTTTTGGTACCTTTTTCCATCGAATCGATACACTTAGTCTTATATTTCTGTCTTCACTTTTTCATACTTAAGGTTCAATAATCTGAATACCGATGTTTAATTGTGGTCTTTTAATATGGCTGTTTAGGAGGTTGAAGTATAGGTTGACAATGCCATCTTTTCGGGGGCTTATTGAATTTTAAACAGTGTCAAATCTTAATAACAACTGTAGAAATGTTGCATATTTACATCACTTGGGCCACGAATGTATGTAAATTAACACTCTGATGTAACACTGAAAATTTAAACGATAACAAAATATGTTCCACAGCCAAGATTGCCAGAATACCAGATCCGAGGTTTATTTTACCAGAATTCATAAGCGCAAAGTACCATTAATCGAATATGGCAACTCGCAGTTGAAAGGAGAAAACAATAGTACCCTATAGACATCAAAATAGAAGGAAATACGTCAAAATCACCACAAAAATATAAGCAGTACCTTTCGGACTTAACACCAATAGAAAAAAAGATCATTAACACCACAAAAAACAGCAACAATTAACTTGAAACCCTTGGAACATCACATCATTAACACATGTCAAAATGTCATAAACACCACGAAAACAGCATGCACAATACTACATTGCAATGAAATAGACATCATACAACCTTTAAATAGACATCATAAAACCTTCACATATATGAAAATACGGTAACTGGGTAAATCACACAACACTACAAACACCATTAATATCCACAAAGACAAGGTCGATAGATTATGCTTTAGAAAGTTAAGTGTTCCTATGCACTACATGTGATATTCAACATTAAGTCTCCAATCAAATCCGGGTTATGAATTTATTAACGATTAAAGAACAGTGAACAGTTCTCTGTTCATAGTCAAGTCATGTCAATGTTGTTCATATCATTGCATATATCATAATTGCATTGCTACATACTGAAATATATTGTTACATACGAGTAGCAGGGATCAATATACCTACATGAAATATTGTTACATAAGAGTAGCAGGGATCAATATACCTACATAAAATATTGTTCAAACAGTTATGATATTTCATGTATTAACGCACTGACCAAAAATCATCCCAGATTTTAGGCCAGAGAGCAGATGATCGGGACAGCCCCTACCTAAAAAGCCATTTGGATGCAGTACAAGATATGACAAATAACATTTTTTCTTCTACATTTATTGCGTATGTATGGTCCGGTTTATGTTATCAAAAGACTCGCCATCTAAACCACGCTGTGAGATTATTGGCGTGTACAAATACTGTTGTTAAAGCTAAATAAAATACAATCAGTCAATGTGTATTTTGTCTATCTGCATTTTTTTTCCTGAATGCTTTCTTGTATATAATTGCGTGCCACGCCACACTTTCTGTATACCAGAACTGCGAGAGTTTCCCCTGCGTGTCCATCACGTGTGACGTCTGGGACCTGTCGCCTCAACAATCTATTAATCTTAAAGCTTACATGACTGTGTCGAGGAGAATCTTCACTGACAATACGGTATGACACTAAAAGCTTCAAGAAGGGATAAGCCTCTTCTTCGATAACATGATTGTCAAAAACTCTATGAAAAGCCTCACTCGTACAATTATAAGACCTTGTTACAGACGTTACTGTGTGGGAGAGATTTTATGAATATTCTATAACTTTGTGTACGAGATGATTATGTAGGGCAGGGCAATAATATTGCGATTCCAACGTATTGCATTATTTGTTTGGCAATCAATATATTTATTCCATTATGACTTTGAAATGGTAATAAACAGCAATAATTTTAACTAATTGATTGTATGGTTAACCATAGTTTAATATTAAATATTTTTTTCAAAAAAAATGTTAAGATTGAATTGAAATAATCCAAATTAGGGATATACTCTTCTGAGTTTTCAATCTTAAAATGTGTATTTCTTGCGCTGCGCTTCGCACAGTTTCACCTTTTTGGCGCTAGATTGAACACTAAAATCGTTATTGTGTCGCCATTTTTAATTGTAGCAAGTTTATTTTTGCTGTACAACTTCATTACGTTCATTATGATGACAATACTTTCAATAAAGGGGAAAATGATAAATGATTAGTATTTTCTTTACATATTTGTTGTAACTGAAGAACTCAAAAAGGTGCAAAAAATAACAAATAATAAAAGGACAAAAACTGAAGCTCACGGAGACCTCATTTCTGTGGCTGTGTCAGAAAGGGAAACACAAAAGAAACGTTTTGTAGCAGAAGAATTCAAATCAAGCGTTAAATTTGCAAAAAAATGTTGAAAAAATGAGTATATTTGCATTAAAAATAAGGGGTAGGGGTAACTTAAATCGCTTTTCAGAGATAAAAAATAAGATTAAGAGTGATTTTCAATTTATCATAAAGGCATGCTGAACTGATGAGCACCTGTCCTCATTAACTTACCGTAAATAGCTGACAATCTAGGAATACAATCTATTGTGTGATTATTTAAATACCTACCTTTATAATCAAATGTGTAAGGTTGCTTCGTTATCAGCCGGATATTTCAAGGGCTGTATTAGTAGTAAACACGTTGTAGAATGTTATATAATAAATTATTATTTATAATAAGAGGGACATAAAAACTCACCTCTTCACGTCTGCATTTTAGAATCTTTGCAAAGACGTCATGTACATACCACCCTTTTATTTGTTCAATTATGTGCACATTGCTTGTTAAATGTATGAAAGTGATTGCAAGCCTTTGTTGTTTGTTTTCACAATTATAACCATTTCTATTATCCATATGTTGTAAAGCGCCTTAGAGTAATTTTACAAATTATATAGGGCGCTATATAAATGTTGTATATTAATATTATTATAACCAATCAAGTCGTTCTTGTATTTATACTTTTCAGAACGTAAAACATATTCGACTAGAGTCTTCCTCGGTGTTCAGTTATGACAGTGACCTGAGTCTAAACATCCAGATAAAGGAAACAGGCACATCGGTACGTACTGGTAATGTTTTAATGTCACCATGACTAGGAAGGAATGTAGACCAGTTATCTTAGTAGAACAGGTTTAATTGTTTCTACTATTCCATACATGTGGTCAAAGAAGAGTGATGTGATAGAAACATTATTCTCAAGTTAATTGGAAAATATATACTAAACCACGTCGATAATACACAAAACAGACTCAGGAGTCATAATGTAAAAGACACCAATCCAAAATATTTTCCTTATAAAAATGAGATTGTTTATCCTGTCATTTAAGCTATTTCGTAGCGCAGAAAAGTTCGACACCATGCAACCTCTAACTCATCACTGTTGATTGTGTATGAAACTAGCTCAACTGCAGTGATTAAAGTAATAGGTTTCATCACAACATTTGACAGTCGATACACCTCTCGCCTTATTGACCATTCTCGTGTGAGGTCACAAACGGATATATCATAATTATTTTATATCGTTATTGTATTATTTTACTGAAATATCAGCATATTGTATTACACAAACAGATGCGTTACACGGATGTCTAGAAATTTAATCTATGTTATTCCGGATGATAATGTGCTTGTCGATTCCAGTTTATTAGAATTACTATGAGTATCAATATAATTTGATTTCGAAATTTTGATATTGAAGAGAACACTTAGAGATAGCAACACAATAGGAACCTAGTCGGCGAAAATACCGGCATCCCGTAAGGATACATGATGTATTCCATTAAATTCTAGGCAAGATGTAGAATGATATTTTATATATAAGAAAAAATATGGTTTATATGTACCGTCTAATTGTATAATTTTACTATGACAGATTTCTACAGACTTCCTGATTTACGAGAAGGTGTTACACACAGGCAAACTAGAGCTTTGGATCGTTCTCGTCAGCTTCTGTGCGGGAATATTCGTTTTCTTGATCATCGGAATAATTCTTCTGAAGGTAAATCTAAATATATATATAGACTCATTAATATGAAAATTAGATCGTGTTGATCTATACACGTATACTGGCTGCAATAAAGGTATTATGGAGTAAACTAAATAACTACAAGACGTTTTTTCAGATAATTTACACATGAACAAAGAATTCAAATAGCAGATGTTCTCATATTGATTAAATTGATAAGTGATATCCACATGCATTATTGAGAGCAAATTCATTCTCGAATCAATTCAGGATATGTTTACATTGCTTCAAGTTGATGACTTTGTAATATATAATGGTATCTTACATACTGTTTTGTTTTTGTTATTTGTTTTTTCCGATGATCTATGTAGTATAAAATCTTGAATAAATTCGTTACTGTTAAAAGATAATTAGTGATATTAATATATGTAAATATGTTATTAACATCGAAGTCATTGGTCATTTAAAATATACATATTTCGTCTTGTATTTAATTCAGATTGGCTTCTTCAAGAGGAAACATCGTGATGATCTACTGACCCTCCGGAAGTTGCAGTCCAGGCATTGTGGCAGATATCGCAATAGTTCGGAAGAGACCAGTGATGGAGGCGATGGTAGCAACGAGAATCTCGTCTTGGCAACGGACTACAGGACCGTGGCCTATGATCTGTCTGGAGAGTCATCGCCCGATTCACCGATCTCTCGAACGTTTGGTGACACGGATTATTTAGAACCTATTCAACACTTGTCAGATCGTGATTGATAACTAAAAATCATTTAGATACAGGATAATTATTTTTTGGTTTTGGATTTTTACAGCACAATTGGTGTAAAGTTGGAATGTTTGTAAGTAAGGAGTGTGTGGTCCTACACACACATCACACTCGTGTGTAAGGATCTAAAGCTCGATTTATCCAATGGTGAACATTAAGTTATTGAATTCGGAAGAGGTTTGGATCTGGCTTCTGGTGCATTGCGTGCTGATGTGCAGCTATGTACAACTTATTGATTTGTCGGAGGTCTAGTAAGTTATTGTAGTAACAATCGCCATTACTCAGATACAATGATGTGAGCGTTATAAAACGGACATTATCTGATCTCGCGATATACTTTTTTCATTTTTCTGTTTTGTAAATTTCCTAAACCCTTGTTAATTAGCTAGTTTACATTAAAGCATGCGATTCCAGGTATTTATATGGTAATATATGAATGAGGCACAATATTTATAGAACCAAATATTTTTTGCTTGTTCTTCAGTTCCCCAGGACAAGAAAAATATATGTTCTGTAACACGTGTTTTATGTTCCGTCCAATAATAATTCAGCATGCATAAGGTTTTTGTAACAGGGCAGTCATCTCTCGTTCGTTTTGCATCGTGCGTTGTAAACATTCCGAAATTTTTACATGTTTTCAAGAACTAAACAACCTAGAATCAAGATATTCGATAAAAGACAACGCATGTGATTGCATTGATGATCAATTGTCATGGTCATCAGGGTCAGGTATGTTACAAGCTACATGTTCGTCTTCTAAAGATACATATTCTCTAGATTAAGGATACGTGGGATGTAGTTTGCAAGGGCAAAGGCCTAATGTGTGTGTTCAACATAATAACCATGACTTACTTTCACAGTAGGAAAGGTCAAATATTTTAAAATTGATTAAATTGCTTCTTTAAAAGATACACCAAGGAGTAAGATCAACGAAATTTGTCTTACTGGTCAAGATCATAGGGGTAAAATGTTAAAATGTCCATACGTCTTCTAAAGATCATTTGGTTTAAATTATGATGATGTTTTGACAACAAACAAACATCCGTATCATTTTAAATAAAGTTTAGCCTTCAGTATAAAATTTGTTGTAACCAAGATCGCATTCATGCGGGTAATTAGACCGATCGTTTCTCTTTTACTACTTAATTAGTCAGAAAATCATTAAGAAATGTGAAATGTACTGCATTTACCTGTTTCTATATTCAGATTACTTAAGTGATAACATCGCAGCTGTTTATGGGTTTTTTATAATTAAATTTGTTAACAATGTATTAAACCTATATTTGCATGAACACAAAAATAAGTTTTATAAATTACTATAAAGAAGATATATTTTTTTCTGTTTTATGCTTCAAATCCATGTATCCTAAGACATTTTACTGAAAGTGATGTGAAGATAGCTATTGTACAGACATACACCTATTACGTTGTCTTCCTATTTCAGATATTGGTAATCTGACACACTTCTACAACGCGTATAACTCTCTGTCTTATGATATTATTTTGACTGACTTTCGCCGCATTTTCTTCATGTGTAAAATGTGACGTTGATTAATATTGTTAATATATGTTAGTTTAGGAAGTGTACAATGTTCAAATAGACTTCATGCATGTTATAAAGTTCACTATAAATCACATTTCCTGTGATAGATAATGTTAATATTTGTTAGCCTAGCGAGTGTACAAATAGACTACCATTACCTGGTCTTCGTATATGTGATTTGACTGTCTACCACCATGTGTTCTTCTTGTACCTGACGTAATGTTGTCATTAACAGGCTTCCATCCACCATGTTGTCTTCTTGTATATGTTTGCAATTTAACTAGCATTTACCATGTAAATGTGTATTATGTGATTTAATGTGTTATCTTCCTTCAAGATGTCGCAATCAAAGAGTTCTCCGTAATTTACGTTTGTTGAAATTCACATTGTATATATACTTTAATTTAGCGAAGAGCTACCGTCGTTGTTAATATATATTTTGGACTTATAATCATCCATATTTGATAATGGTTTTGTTTAAATCTTCACAGAAAATTATTTTCGAGCACAATAATGAATACTTGTTTGTAATGTTTAATGGTGTATGCTACCTTTTACATTTTATTTGTCATGTGCAAGAGTTTTCCCTGACTTGCCTTATCTAACACGTCATAAATTCTTTCGCATTATGCCATTGCATGCATTCGTTTAAACCTTTCCACCATGTCATCAGTGTATTATTAAAGAGCATATGAACATTCACGGTAAAGGGTTGCACTCTTTTGTAATGGAAACACATTTCAACGTTTGGTAGCATACAACTTTAAGCGATTTACGGTAAGACATCAGTGTTTGATTCTTTTTAGTGATCTCACGTTATTATTTATTTGATCTTAATCATATACTGAACAAAAAAAGAAACGCACAATTAAATTATGCCATCAATAGCCTATGATATTTTTGGAAATTTGTACAAAATTTTATATCAATATGAAGGGACAAGTCTACTCTTTACAATACTGTAGAGGAAAAGTCTGTGTGACGTCACTCGTGTCATCAGTAGTTACTCAAAGTGGGATACCCGCGAAAAACAAAATGACACTTCAGTACCTGGTGTGGGCACCTTTTGCACGAATCCCTGCACGGATTCTCCTATGCATTGAATTCATGAGAACATTTATTCGCCTTAAGGGAATGTTGTTCCATTCTTGTGTTAATGCTGCGATCAACTGGGCGCGGTTAGTTGGTGTTTTTTTTTCACGTTTCCTTATACGCCCTGTCCAGCTCATCCCACAGATGCTCAATGGGAGACATGTCAGGGCTTTATGGGGGCCATTCCAGAGGCTGAACGTTGTTTGCCGTGAGAAAATCACGACAGACTCTGGCAACATGCGGTCGAGCATTGTCTTGCTGGAAAATTAGGTTCTGACGTCTGAGAAGTGGAAGGACATGTGGTTGGAGGATCTGGTCTCTGTATCGAACGGCATTGAGGTTTTGATCCAGGACCACTAAGGGGGATTTTACTCCATGGGAGATGCCTCCCAAAACCATTACAGAAGCCTCACCGGATCTATCGCGTTCAACCACCCATGCGTAGGCGAAACGCTCACCGCGTCTGCGATATACCCTTTTTCTTCCGTCTGAGCGATACAGACAGAATCTAGACTCGTTGGTGAACATCACACGCCTCCATCGACGCATCCCAAACCAATTCGGGCCACTTGCCGCCTCCGTGGTGTCAGAGGTGGCCCGACATAAGGTCGGCACGCAAGCGGTTCCTGGCAATTTGAGGACTAATGGGTCTGCCATGAGTAACTAAGGTATGCGACGCAGTCTCTACAGCAGTCCTGAATCTGTTGCGCAAGTGCGACAATCGAATCGCCCTGTCTTGTCGTGCGGTCGTTACACGCGGACGACCGCTCCTGGGACGATCGGAAACTAACCCAGTAGCACGGAAACGTGTACAGAGACGGTTAATTGTACATGGGCCAACACCAAACTGCCGTGCGACAGCAGTTTTGCTATGACCATCCATCAACATCGCAATTGCTCTACCCCTCTGAATTTGCGTTAATCGTGGCATCTCAGTCAATGGAGAAATCAAAATGTGGAAAATTAACGTGGCTGAACTCAGAGTATCCGCGTGGTTTGGACTAAAGAAGCTCACAAAGTCACACAATGACATCGTAACGCTTGGCTGGTTTTAGGGTAGATTGTTGAGAAGGGAGATCGTTCTTGATGTAATACCTGACCAAATATTCCATTATTTCCTTACAGCTAAGGTGTACTGCAGGGGGAACTTTGTGCGTTTCTGTTTTTGTTCAGTATATATCCAATTTTTTTTCAATAAATGATTCATTTACAACGTAACAATAACGTTTGTTTGTTGATCCTACCATGTGATTTTTAGTGAAATAAATACAATCCAATCTATCGTTTTCTTTTTCATTTTTCGAAAGCGTAGACATATAGCTAATGCACTGATAAATTCAAGCCATTCCATCTCTGCTTTCCCCGCAAAACAGGCACTATTGACCAACATGTTCCACTATTGACCAACATTTTCCACTATTGACCAACATGTTCCACTATTAACCAACATGTTCCACTATTGACCAACATGTTCCACTATTGACCAACATGATCCACTATTGACCAACATGTTCCACTATTGACAAACATGATCCACTATTGACCAACATGTTCCACTTTTGACCAACATGTTCCACTATTGACCAACATGTTCCACTATTGACCAACATGATCCACTATTGACCAACATGATCCACTATTGACCAACATGTTCCACTATACAGCCGCCACTCTTATCCCCCGTAGCCAACACTTAATCATGGCCACTTGCCCTACCCTACAGTAACCACTAACACCATTGCCTGTTCATTCAGCCAACACTAAAATGCTTGTCCACTGCAGCCAAAACTAACACATTTGACCTACCATACAGTAACAACTAACCCACTTGCGTTTCCGTGTGTCTTTCCTTCCATACATCCTCCACTAATTCGCTTGCCCTTCCATACAGCTACTACTAATTCGCTTGTCCTTCCATACAGCTATTACTTATTCGCTTCTCCTTCCATGCAGCTATTACTAATTCGCTTGTCCTTCCATACAACTACTACTAATTCGCTTGTCCTTCCATACAGCTACTACTTATTCGCTTGCCCTTCCATACAGCTACTACTAATTCGCTTGCCCTTCCATACAGCTACTACTAATTCGCTTGCCCTTCCATACAGCTACTACTAATTCGCTCGCCTTTCCATACAGCTACTACTAATTCGCTTGCCCTTCCATACAGCTACTACTAATTCGCTTGCCCTTCCATACAGCTACTTCTAATTCGCATGTCCTTCCATTCAGCTATTACTAATTCGCTTGTCCTTCCATACAGCTATTGCTAATTCGCTTGTCCTTCCAAACAGCTTCTTCTAATTCGCTTGTCCTTCCATACAGCTACTTCTAATTCGCTTGTCCTTCCATACAGCTACTTCTAATTCGCTTGTCCTTCCATACAGCTACTACTAATTCGCTTGTCCTTCCAAACAGCTTCTCCTAATTCGCTTGTCCTTCAATACAGCTACTACTAATTCGCTTGTCCTTTCAAACAGCTTCTTCCAATTCGCTTGCCCTGCCATACAGTCATATCTAATATAATAGTTCCACCATGTAGCAACACCAAATACAGCAGTCCTACCCCACAGCCACAATTAAAACGCTTGTTCCATACATCCGCCAGTATTCCGCTTGTCCTTTCATACAACCACCACTGAACTGATTGTCTTGCCATACCGTCATATGGTTGATAAGGGCTTGTCATGACGCTGATTTAGCTGGAAAGGAATGTGGCTGGTTTACAGAGAAATTAATGCATATATATATTTCTGTTGTATATACGTATATTAACATCAAGTTATATGTGGCCTCGATGTGACTGATTTTAATGACTCCATTACACTTTCTTTATAATAAACAAATGCACTGTAAATGTTTTTGCCCAATTTTAATATCAGTATTTAATGCATCGGTGCTCATTACTATATAAGCATCATATAACGAATGGGAAATTAAATTAAAACATGAGGTATATTTACATGAATATTTATAACACATCACTATCACATTTCTCTGTTCATACGTGTTTATTTCTAAACATTTCTAATACGAGTTCTAATCATCCGCGCGACAAGTTTCTCTCCTAAATACACCGCCCCTTTGACACAATTCCGCGTCAATTATACCTTATATTTAATAAACATGTTGATAAGTGAGGAAATAAAAAGGACCAGGAGACGACGACAATGATAATGACAAGGAAACTTTCGTTTATTTTATAACCAATCTAATCCAGAAATAATATCAGAAAAATAGACAAAAATGAATATAAACAGGATAAACAGGGTATATGCACCATCAGATAATTGTGATTGTCTTTTAGGTTTAGTTCCTGACCCTTGAACTGATATAGTGCATCAGGCTGGTGTGATGTCATTGTAGTGTGGACTTGTTTCCTGACTTGTTGTAAGTATCAGTGTAGCGAACAGCGTCATCCATTAATGTAAAAACCGATAAAGCCTATATTTGAGATTTTCTTAAACATTTACACACACGTCCTCATCATCATCAAGAGTCGGTCACCCACATGAACTTTGGGCTCATTATACACCTATCACATGGTGAAGTACATGTACATGGATATTTATAGAAGCAAACACAATGTCAAATAAGTAAGTAAATATCCTTATTTTTGTTCTACATCTTACTCTCTGCTTATTTGCAGTAAAAAGGTTATTGACTCTGCTGGTTGACTTTTGTCCCAAACGTCGGCCCTAACCTCAGCTGGGATTGGTTCTGGTACGGTTTCTATACGAAATGATAGCGCAAAAATAATTATTCTGTTGCAGCCAAATTGTTAATTTGTAACGTTATAAAGGGGTTTATAGCTTACGGGCACCTTTCCCTTTGCTGTATTTATATATAAACACAGGTTCAGAAAACATCTTTATTCTTTGCCTTTAGTGCTAAGTGGACGAATAGTCCTACGGTGCATTTAAAAAAAAACTCTGGTATTGTACATTGACCTGCTGAATTTATGAACTGGTGAGTCGTTACTTCGTAGTTCTATTGGTGAATCTAGTGTAAGACAGTAACTTCGAAAATGCAACTCTTCATTGAACACACAGCAATTATGCAATACCACCGACCAACTTAGCCCAAAAATATGGAGAGAAAAAAAAGATATTTTTTTATCTTTTTTTTTGCAACACTAGATAAATTAAACGGTTACAGGTTAACATATTCCATACAATCATAACATACGTGTTTCATGAGGTTGTTTAGTTATCATCATTATCAATGTCGCATTAGTTAATTTAACTGAGTGTTATTTGAAATTGATAATTCACGAATGAGACTCTAACAAACATAACAAACCTTATGTGACCCCATTCTCACACAATGTTTATATTATATCCGAAAAGTCTGTTCCGTACACACGCCCCCATCTTCCAATAATACACTGGAGTACTTGCTTTTTAACACAAGTACAAGACAAAACTCACAATGAGTCGTAACGGCATAATGAATTGATGTTATTATAAAGCTTTTGCTTGTGACGTTGCAAGCTTTGTGTGGTCACGTTCATATAAACGTCGTGACCTGTATTTTGACGAATGAAAACGCTCCGAGCGTGTTACCGACCCATATACTATGTTATCTTCAACCAACGTCTTCCTGCTCATCTGCTCATCCAAAGTCTGGAACAAAGACAAGTGCACTAGTTATAGGTGAACTGATATCGTTATCAGCATTTGTATCGATTTAACTAGGTTTCCCTGTATATAAGTGTGATGACCTTCTACTTCCTTAATGCTCGGTTAACCAGGTCTGACCGTCCTTTATAACATACGGCTTTACCTAATGATATCAGCTTACTGCCGATTTAACAAGGCTTTATTTCATACAATACCGATGACAACATGTTAAATATTTCACTTTCGATTTGAAACAAGTTTTACTGACGAATATAATCATAAAGTATACATAAATTACGACTAAATGTATCAACAAACAGATTTCAAGATCAACAACAGATTTAAACATCAACATACATATTTCAGCATCAACTTATAGATTTCAACATCAACAACAGATTTAAATATCAACATACCGACTTCATCATCAACATACATATTTCAAGATCAACAACAGATTTAAACATTAACATACCGACTTCAACATGACATCAACATAAACAGATTCACACAATGTACTACTGATGAGGATGTCTCTCTATGCGGTCAATTAAAACAGCTTTGTACATAACGATGCATTCTGTATAAACTTACTCAGGTTTATCCGTCTGACATACTATAACGGCTTTATAATATGCATGTGTACAGTTACTGCATCACGTTTTTTCAATTTGAAGAAGTGTGCTTCTCACTTATAAATAAATAGAGTAACTGTATCCATATTTTGGCAAATTTGATAAGGTTTTATTGTCAGACGTTATCTAAATACAAGCACACAGAGGTACGCACACATGTCACGTGGTACGCACACATGTCACGTGCACTTGCAGACCACTACGTCACGACAGACATCATGTCCTTGGACATGTCGGCGAGTTGAAGGTTCCAAACACATTCAGTTCGTACAGACAAGACAGGGCGATCACCACCACATACGCTATGAGACATACAACCCCGAATGTTCGTCCCAGCTTCCACTTAGCAAGGATGACGGCGATGCCTATAAAGAAGACGGTGGAAAGGAGGGTGAGTGCGGAATATGTGAGACCATCGCTAGTGATCATGATGGGTTCGCCATCGTCGATAGCCGCAGAGCGTATGAGCCAGGGTATACCGAGACAGACCAGGACGTCAAACACGTTACTCCCTATAGAGTTTGATATGGCCATGTCACCATAACCTGAAACACGACAGAAAACATTCAATACTGAACGAACACGGCACAGGAAAAAATCAAACGATCGGGAAAATATTATCAAAGTTTGAAATGCTATTTTTGTATATCTTTGTAAAAGTTAAGTTCAGGACAAATTAAACGGTAGCACGATATTACTAGAAATACTCGCGTTGTAGTTTAATTCACATATTCATTTCAAAATTTCTCATTTTTGAAGCACTGTATTGTTTATGGAAATGGATTGAGTAAAACAAAATAAAATCTGTCCAAATAAAATTACTAATCTGCCCGAACAGATAAGAATTGTGAGTAGACAGGAACCGGAAATCATTTACTGCATTTTATTTGTCCGGACAGATTATAGACAATATGTGTGGACAGGCTATTAATCTAATCACTGGAAAAACTAGCTTGCCAGTAAGACAGTATTTCTCCCTTATATTCCTTTGCTGTTACACTATTCCCCCTCCGAAAGTCTCGTCGTCCTGAGACTTTGCCTGGGGAATGATGTAGGTCCTCTCTGTGGTATCAATATGTATACATGATCACACGGTTCATTCCCATTTATCCAACTTTTTGAAAAATAGGTACTACAGGTAAAAAGTTTGGGTTGGATAAGTGGGAATAGGGTATATTGTTAAAACAACAAACACTAATTGGAGCTTGGGTCAAGTGTTGGGTTAAAAATATGATACAGAAATTAAGTCCTTTTGGAAATGTGTATCTAAGTTATTCCTATTAAGTTGATTTGAATGCTTCATTTTGTTTCTATTTGTGGTTTTTTTATTGATTCTGTAGTTATGATATATGCTTTCACAATAAGACTAATTTCTATTTTCAATATATTTATTCAAATAATATCAGACATATATATTATTAACAGACATATTAATTATTAAATATACAAAATGATACAAAATAATATTTATTTCATAAATTGATATAAAGCACTAGAAATAAGATGATAGCAATATGAATCATTTTACATGATAGAAAAGTTACAATGTATAGTAAATTTCATATTTAAAATATTTGAATTAAGCAAAGCACTATATCAATCGAATATTATAGAGTCATATCAGTTCATTGAAGTTTCAGCAGGCGTGACACTGTGTCTGTATACTGGTAGATGTCAACTTCCCCTTGAATGAGTCGTTGTTTCTGTCGCTGAAGTCTGGAGTCTAGGATTCTGTATTTCAGCTTTCTTGTCTTTCTAGTGCCACCAGCTGCATACTGGATAAGTCGGATCTCATTTGCTGCT